ACTAAGTTCGCCGTAGACCGCGCGCGCAGCGCGCTCCGTGTTTGCAGACCGCCCTGGCGGACTCGTTTACACTTCCAAGCTCAGGCCAGGCGCCGCAGGCCATGAAGAGGAGCGCAGATTAAAATGGCGCCGCAGGCTCCCCGGGCCGTCCGCGCACAGACCACAGGAAAAAACAAAAATCTATAAAACATCTATCAACACCACTAGGGGGTGGGTGGGCTCCGATCTCCCCATCTCCAATACTCTCTAATCCACAGCGTCGTCATCTTAGGCCGGGGATCCAGTCAGATCTCCGATCTCCATCTTCAATCTCCAATCTCCAACGTCGTCATCTTAGGCCGGATTCAGTCAGATCTCCGATCTCCATCTCCAATCTCCAATCTCCAATCTCGATTCGGGGACCCGGGGGAGGAGGGGGGCTCAAACGGTCAAACCTTCAAGGAGATGCGCTATGGATTCATTCACACTGACCATCTCTCATCTCCAATCTCCAATCTTCTACTTGGCCACTGTCGCCGCCGGCAGCAATCTACGACCTCCATTTTCAATCTTCGATCTCACATCTGGGGCGGATGGCTGGGCGCTAGGATCTACAATCTGCATTCTCCATCTCCTATCTCCACATTTTGGCCCGTGTTGCTGCTCAGCGATCTGCAATCCACAATCTCAATCTTCGATCTTTAGTCTTGAATGGGGAACCGGACGGGAGGGATCTACTGGCGAGACTTGGGCGTGTCCCCCGTGTGAGAGATCCGCTAGGATCTCCAGTCTTAATCTACTATCTCTACCCCAACGATCTACTGGTCTTGCGTAGAGATGTCCATTACTCCCCCCCCCCTAGCATGTGGTGAGCACCCCCCCAGCAGTTCGTGGGCTAGGAATAGCCACCAGAGAGCCGATTTTGGCCCCCAAAATTGTGAAATGAGAAATCGTGGCTGAAAGTCCACCACGCCATCTTGGAGAATCTGACCGGTCTCAAGGCTCATATAGCTCCAAAGGATGATTTCCCCCTCGAAAATGCTCGAATGTCGAAATGAGGCGTAAATGGTAAGGAATCAAGGGCCCGGAGGGTCTGACCACGAGTCTCTGGGGCGTTGCCGTTGGGGCGGGTCCTCGCACGTCCTCGGCCACGACCCCCCCCCTAGCATGTGGTGAAGCCTCTGGGGGGGGGTCGACCCCCCCCCCCCTCTAGCATGTGGTGTGAGTAGAAGTGCGCCCCCCCCCTTGAAAGAAATATGCCCTTGCCTCGGGGGGGGGGTTGCCCGGCCCCAAACGCCACCGGTGAGGAGCAATTCCTCGTTGCCATACTGGTAAAAGGCGTCAAAACAGGAAGACGAAAACGGTAA